AAGAACCCATGGAGAAAAGAATAGATGCAGACCTTTCTAAGGTCTTCATGACAGCAGGCTTGGGATGTCATCCTGCAGTCTCTATCTCTGCTTTGTCCAGAGCATTACGTTCATGGATCCTCGATTTGGAGGAGGATATAGAGAGAGGAGTGAGTAGACGCCTCATAACGGACTCCTTAAGGGAGATTAAACTAGCCAGTGACTGGCTGTTGGAATCCTCCACAGACCTCATCAGGATTTTTTCAAAGGTTATGGTACACTCCGTTACTGCCAGAAGGGCTCTGTGGTTGAGATCCTGGGGAGCTGATCTCTCTTCTAAGAATAATTTATGCACCCTACCATTCTTGGGCAAGGTGCTTTTTGGCAGGCCGCTTGAAGAAGCCATTAAAAAGTCAGCTGAGGTCAAGCAAATCATGCTTCCACAAGACAGGTGTCCGAAAAGACCACAACAGGACCATCGTCCTTACAGGCCTCAAGGGGGATACAGGGATAGTAAAACCTATCGACCAGGCAGAGAATACTCTCGGCTCTCCAACTGGAAGAGTGGCCAAACCTAGAAAGTCTTCCAAACCTAAGGCTCAAAATTCTTCCTTTCGCCCCACCAGACAGTTCTGAAGGTGGCTTAGGCCAGGTCCCTCATGTCGGAGCATGTCTTACGTTCTTCCAGAGGACCTGATTCCAGATGCCTGGGTAAAGTCCATTATCACAACAGGTTATTCTCTGGCGTTTGAAGAATTTTCCCCTCCACCAAGATTCATCAGAACAAGACTCCCTGTGGACAGACAAAAGAGAGACATCTTGACTCATTATGTAACAAATCTATTACAAGAAAAGGTCATTGCTCCGGTACCTGTGACAGAAAGATTCCAAGGGTTCTATTTTCCCCTGTTCTTGGTAAAGAAACCGTGAGGAAAGTGGAGACCTATTCTAGACCTACACCAGCTCAATTTCTTCTTAAGGGTAAGAAGGTTTCACATGGAATCCATCCGTTCCATCATTCCAGTGGTACACCACAGAGACTGGTTAATCTCAATAGATCTGAGAGACGCCTACTTCCATGTTCCTGTCACAGCCAGGCATCAGAAGTTTCTTCGATTCTGTGTAAAAAAGGAGCACTTCCAGTTTCAGGTTCTTCCCTTTGGGATAAGTACAGCCCCGAGGACTTTCTCGAAAGTGCTGGTCACAGTTATTGCTTTCCTCAGAAGGAGGGATGTTGCCATCTACCACTACCTCGACGATATCCTGGTAGTGGCTTCAGACTTCGAGACGATGCTTCAACGCAGACAGCTGGTCCTCGAGACTCTATCTCAGTTTGGATGGCTAATCAACCACGAGAAGTGTCATCTGTAACGGCACCCCAGCATAAAAGGGGTTACAGCCGTATGAGACGTTCCCTTACCGAATGCGAAGGCAGCCACTTCGTGTTACAAAGCACTGAACAGTAGCCGTACGGATGCGGCAGTTCCCTAGTAACCATAGTGAATGCAATATTCCTCCCAAACAGCCAAACAGCCACCATACGAATCAAGTATCCTTCCAAACAGCCGAACACTCTTACTCCATACGAATAATCCCCCCAAAGACGAGACACAGCTCCGTATTGAGGGTCAGCAGGAATCTGTTTAATGAGGGCTACATGCCCGGCTTTTATGCAAGTCCCTCACCTAGTGGACATTCCCCTCGGGGACCGAATGGGGGACTGTGACAAGGACAATACATTAGCCAATCACAGAAGACACAATAAGCCATTCCTCTTTTCTTGCCCAGAACCCCCTGCTCTTCCCGGGAAGATAATTGTGAAGTAATTCAATTATCTCCCCAGACAGAGCCTAAACGCCAGTTTGAGTACTAAAAACACAAGTACATAAAAATACATAAAATTATATAACTGTTACATTTTATACATTTTTATAGGCATTCCACAGGTCCCCAGATAGCGAGGATCTGAGCGCACCAAAGTACCGAATAGCGCTCAGATCCTATACACACAGTCTAATCGCCGTGGAGCCAAAGTGTTCACACAGTCAGTTTTCATACAAATGGGCTCCACGGGATTCCTATCTGGGGTACGGTGTATTCTGTTTCAAACCACCGAATGTAGAGTCATTCGTGCCAATCTACCGAACAAGAAGGGAGGCTTCAGCGGTGTTCGTGCCAAAATGTGTCCGTTTTTAGTTCCATGAGATAGACGTCGAACACCGCTGTGCGTTCATATGTTTTAAAATGGCCGTGACCTCGTGTTCGACGTTCAAATGGCGGCCACCCAACTGCTGTATCAATTACGAGGTGTCTGCGGTTAATCCTCAACATTTGAATGGGGCCAAGAGGTTAATCAGCAGCACACTCCTCTACTGGGTGGCCGGCCGTTCGGTAGTTTGTTCGGTTATAAACAGGGGAATGCCATAGAGTCCACAGGAATGAGAAAAACGAATTAAATAAACGAACAAGCCATACGGTTATTTTAGTCTAAGACAGAGGGATCTGTCACATCATCAACAACCAACAAGGGAACTAGTGTTCTTAGGAGCAAGCTTCAATACCCTCACGGCAATAGTATCGCTTGCTCAAGAGAGAAGGTTGAAACTGCAGGATCATGTTTGCACCTTTATTCTAAAGACGTCTGCTTCTGCAAGGGAGTTTATGAAGCTCCTAGGTACCTTGACCTCTACGATAGATCTGGTCAGATGGGCACAATGGAACCTGCATCCACTTCAGCAGTATCTTCTGAGGAACTTCAGAACCAGCTCAGAGGAATGGGAAAGACAGATCCACATTCCTCTCAATCTGAAAAGGAAGCTTCAGTGGTGGCTGAAAGAGGAAAACATTTCCAGAGGTTTTCCTCTGAAGGAAATCGACTGGGTAGTCATCACGACAGATGCCAGTCAGTACGGATGGGGAGCACATCTGGGAAAATCTTTCATCTAAGCAGAATGGCCTCAGAGGGCTCAGAACCTGCCTTCAAATATAAGGGAGTTGAGAGCGACATCTCTGGCAGATAAAGGGAGCCTGGGTAAAATTAAGAGTAGACAATAAGGCGGCTGCCGCCTATCTCAACCATCAAGGAGGCACCAGGAGTATCTCAAACAAGGGGGGGAAAGAGTCAGCACTAAATAACAAGAATATAAAGCAGCAACCCAAAAAGGGAATCCCTCAAAACCCTTAATAGAATAAGCTGAAAAGATGGGGGTAAGGGCTGCGCTAAAAAGCCTGTAATAATAGACTAAAAATAATGGAGACCAGACCAAATGGTCTAAATCGATAAAACACCAACAGATAAACCTATATATATATAGGAGACAGTGAGGGAAAATCTCACTTAAAACAACAGAATAAAAAATAAAATAAAATAATAAATCAGTCCAGATAATGAAATATAATGGAGGTTAAAAACAAGACAAAAAGAGGGAGAGTACGACAAGCAGCCGATAGCGTAATATTGTAAAATCCAATGGTAAAATAGATAAAAGGAAAGTAATACACTCACATTTGTGAGAGCTTTAACCAGCTCTGGGATGATGGGCGTGTAGCGGTATAATCCCCGCTAAAGGATATATTGGAGAGATGCGTCTGTCACTCCGGCTTGGCACAATAAAAGTAAAAGACAGCAATAGTGCTCTCAGTATATAGGAATAAGGAAATAAAATATATATATAAAATATACTCACAAGAGTAGAGCAGGAGCTACTGCTCTATCAATACAGCATTGGTGGAATGAGCCCCACCTAGGATTTCTTGAGTCAGGATACAAAAAGTGCCAGGAAGAGAGATCATAAAAATGTGCATATAAAATCTAATAAAATGAAAATTGGTCCTTATAAAACGGATAACAAAAAGACTTTTATTGTTTAAAATGCACAATTAAACCCATTAACACGTTTCACCTTTAAGGCTTTATCAAAATGGTATATGACATTATTCCTGGCATGAAGAGTTTATAAAAGGATATGTAAATTAAAATTGGTGCCAAAACTTGGATCAGCCAACAGAGACAGATTTTCAAAAGACATGGTTAAAACAAATAATAACAAATATAGCTAGATAGATTAAACAAATATGACCTAGATAGTGTAATTATATATTAAAAACGACCCTCACACCCCATGGTTTAAATGCAGACTTTGATCTGCACAATTTCTTATAATCATTTTTATTGCTATATTCATTTTTTTATTGCTATATTCATTTTATATAATTCTTTTTTTAATTATATAATTTGACATACATATGTAATGTTACCAACATATCCCTATATAAAGGACACTCTTTTTTCTTCTTTCATATATAAGTTATGTACAACTTTTATTCTCCTATATAAGATGCTTTTATGTATACTCCTATGTGATATGTTTACATGTATTTTTTTAACTTCAATATATGTATGATTTGATTATTTCCATTCTCATCTAGGGTAGTGGGTTTTTCACTTCACCCCTGTAAATATTATCTTTCCGACGGCATGAATATACTGTTCCGACGTCGGTTCCAGAGTGGCATATTCACACTGTTCGCCGCTTCCCTCCCAGCCCCTCCCCTTGTATTTGTAGTCCTAATGACTACTGGTGCGGGCGAGCTGCTCGTCACACTTCCCAACCCCGCCCCCCTTTTGCCGGCTTGCGTCGACCGGCGAAACTACATTACCCTTGGAGCTTAGCTCTAAACAATGCCGGTCACGTGATGCAATTGCTCTTATTAATATTTCACTACACAGACCTCGTTTTTAATATATAATTACACTATCTAGCTCATATTTGTTTAATCTATCTAGCTATATTTGTTATTATTTGTTTTAAACATCTGAAAATCTGTCTCTATTGGCTGATCCAAGTTTGGGTGCCAATTTTAATTTACATATCCTTATATAAACTCTTCATGCCAGGAATAATGTCATATACCATTTTGATAAAGCCTTAAAGGTGAAACATGTTAATGGTTTTAATTGTGCATTTTAAACAATAAAAGTCTTTTGGTTGGGGCGTGGCTTCAACGCTGAGGAGAGAAGACGCATGTCGGCTGAGCTCCCGCGGCGGGCATAATAAACAGCAAGTACTGGGGCACCTACTTACCCTAAATCAGCCCGGGACCGGGTCAAACAATACCGCTCACAATGGGGAAGAAGGCGAAAAAGCTAAAAACCCTTACCGGGAACGGATCCCGCGATATTGCTGACCTCCTTCAGCCGCGGCCTAGGCCCAAAATGGCGCCACAAACAGACGCATATTATACATCCTCTGAGGAAGAACTCCTAGACGCACCTGACAACATATCCTGTTCAGGGAGCATGAACAGCCCTCAAAGAGAGGAAGACCTAACAGCCCCAGCTACAAAAGGGGACATCAAAGCTCTACTAACAAACATAAGAGCCTTCTTAAATGCAGATTTGAATATCATGCGTGAGGATATAACAGTGGTGACAGCAAGACTGCAGGCTAACGAGGATGCCATCACCTCCCTAGCCCAAAAGCAAGAAAGCACCAACGAGCACTTGCTCCTGCTCCAAGCATCACACAAAAGCATGCAGGTCAGACTGGACACCCAGGACGACGCAAGGAGGCATAATAATCTTAAAATCAGGGGCATAGCCGAATCAGTTACCGACCAGGAACTACCCCATTTCTTACGCCGGCTGTGGACTACCCTACTACCACAGCGCTCTGCGAAGGGCATTCAGGTAGATGGCTGCTACAGACTGGCCAAGTCAAACAGGGCCCCTGCTGGGGTTCCCCGGGACGTCCTGATACGTTTCCCGCTACTTCGCGATAAGCTGGCCCTGCAGGATGCTGCAAAATCCAGAACACCTCTTAAGTTCGAGGAAATGCAGCTCCAACTCCTACAGGACTTATGCCGCTCCACTCTGGAATGGAGACGGTCTTTTCAACAGGTGACAAAGACCCTACGCTCTGCAGACATCAGCTACAAATGGGGGCCCTCTCGAGCTCTAATAGTCCATAAAGACGGGAGCATGCATCAGCTTTCCACCGCAGAGGACTCAGCGACATTCCTGCAAGGACTGGGCCTTACCATGTCTTCTGACAACACGGCACGTCCAAGTCACAGATGGGACGTACGCAGGATTGTCCCTTTTACCCCACGCTCTGCAGATGACACCGGCTGACTGATGATGCACCAGCAGTCACAAGGAACTGGACTGATCCCCACACCAGTACCAGATACCGGTCAACCCCTGATGTTTAAATGTTCTAGTTCTCAGGTTCCGTTAGTATGCAGCACCGCCCGGCACTGTTAGAGTTCCCGGGTCATAGATAACACAGATGACCCTAGTCGACCACACACCTTTTACAACATGTCCTGATTAGAGGACACAGACACCGGAGTTTCCCCTCCGCTCATCCCCCCCCCCAACACTCTGGGGTAATTGAGTGTAAATCGACAATCAACACACCCGACTGACCACAGCATTGCCTAAGTGTAAGACAGGACCACTGCTTCCTTACATAAGACCCTTAGGGCTGGGTCACTCTCCTAGGCCCACGGTCTTGGTACCATTATCACGCCCTACATTACTTAACGTAACACGTAAATAGAAGATAACATACCACAGCACACTCTTACCTGCAACAAGCACTAAGTGTAGCATTATGTCAACTCGCTAAATGTTTACTACCATAAACAAAAAATGCTTTACTGCTCTCTACTGTGTTAAGGCTACTGAAGTGTGGCAAAAGAGGGCTGTCGTGACGCAGTACCTGTGTCCTTTTTTTTTTAATCTGTTCTCGCTTATGTTGTCTTTGTTTTGTTTTCTTATACTCTTTGGGCAAAACGGAGCTACCTCCACCCAAGAAAATTGCTACCGGTACCCAGTGGCTCACTTACACTATGGTTCAGCATAACAACTCAGCATGTCTATATTAGCTAACAGCTCTATGCATCTCCTCTTACTTTACTCACAGTACTACCTTACAATGATTAGCCACATGCTTATGTTTATGCAAAGGTCAGCCACTCTCCCTTAACAGTAGCTCCAGACATCTACTAGTTAGCCTGAAATCTAAGCTACCATAAAATATTTAAAATGTGCCATATGTACGAATGCCATAACCCTGCTTTGTATGTCTTGTTATCAATCTGTGTGCAGAGGCTGTTGTGGCTTACTGAACACTATGTTATTTCTTTGCACGCTATAAATAAAGAATTAAAAAAAAAAAAAAGTCTTTTGGTTATCCCTTTTATAAGGACCAATTTTCATTTTATTAGATTTTATATGCACCTTTTTATTATTTCTCTTCCTGGCACTTTTTGTATCCTGACTCAAGAAATCCTAGGTGGGGATCATTCCACCAATGCTGTATTGATAGAGCAGTACCTCCTGCTCTACTCTTGTGAGTATATTTTATATATATATATATATATATATATATATATATATATATTTATATTTAATTTCCTTATTCCTATATACTGAGAGCACTATTGCTGTCTTTTACTTTTATTTTGGAGCACTGATTCTACCAAGCCGGAGTGACAGACGCACCTCTCCAATATATCCTTTAGCGGGGATTATACCGCTACATGCCCATCATCCCAGAGCTGGTTAAAGCTCTCATAAATGTGAGTGTATTACTTTCCTTTTATCTATTTTACCATTGGATTTTACAATATTACGCTATCGGCTGCTTGTCGTACTCTCCCTCTTTTTGTCTCTACATATATGGAAATTTTATCAATCCGGACGGATCAACTCCTGAGGACTGTACCCTCACCTTACTTTTTAACCTCCATTATATTTCATTATCTGGACTGATTTATTATTTTATTATTTTTTTATTCTGTTGTTTTAAGTGAGATTTTCCCTCACTGTCTCCTATATATATATATATATATATATATATATATATATATATATATAGGTTTATCTGTTGGTGTTTTATCGATTTAGACCATTTGATCTGGTCTCCATTTTTTTTAGTCTATTATTACAGGCTTTTTAGCACAGCCCTTACCCCCATCTTACCAGGAGTATCTCGCTGATGAAAGAAGTGACAGCAATCATGAACTGGGCACAAATACATTTGGAAGGCCTGCGTGCGGTCTTTCTCCCAGGGAAGGAGTATGTGTTAGCAGACTTATTCAGCAGACACCAAGTGGAAGCCATGGAATGGCATCTTTCAAGGCCTGTGTTTCAACAATTGGTCCAGAGGTGGGGTCTTCCCCAAGTGGATCTCATGGCGACGGCTCAGAATGCTCAAGTCCCTTGTTTTATACTCAGGAAATTCCATTCGAAAGCACTGGATCAAGATGCTCTTTCAATGAAATGGCCCTTTCATCTGGCGTATGTTTTTCCCCCCATTCCTCTCATTCATGCGGTGCTCAGGAAGATTTCCAGAGAACGTTGCAGAGTGATTACTGTAATCCCCTTCTGGCCGAGACGTCCTTGGTTTCCTCTTCTGAAGAGGTTGGCGATAGAGGAACCCTGGGAAATTCCGGTTACAGAAGATCTACTGACACAGGGCCCAGTGGTTCATCCAGAACCTTACAAGCTCAGGCTTCATGCATGGCTCCTGAAAGGCAATCCTTAAAGGAACAGGGTTTATCGGACCTTGTGGTCTCTACCCTTTTATTTTCCAGAAAGATCTCCACTTCTTCTACCTACCACAAAATTTGGGAAGCCTTTGCGATATGGTTAAGTTCAACCGTGCAGAACATGAGTCCTCCTACGATCTCTCAAGTCTTGGGTTTCCTACAAGCTGGCCTGGAGAAGGGTCTTAGTCTTAACACCCTTAAAGTGCACTGATCAGCTATCCATCTATTCGATGGGCGCTTCATCCTATGGTGGTTCGCTTTTTCAAGGCCGTTTTATGGATTAGACCTCCTATTAGACAACTGGCGGCTCCTTGGAATTTGCCTCTGGTGCTTCAGGCTCTCACAGATCCTCCCTTCGAACCTATTGGCAAAATTCAGATGCACATCCTTTCTCTGAAGACCCTATTATTGCTTGCTCTAGTCTCAGCTAAAAGAATGTCTGACATCAGAGCTTTATCAGCCGGGGAACCTTACACTTCCTTCTTCAATGATAGGGTCATTCTCCGTCTGACACCTGAATTTCTTCACAAGGTGGTTACACCTTTCCATCTCCAACAGGAGATTGTCGTGCCTGCCTATTTTCAGCATCCTTCTACTCCTGAGAAGTCAAGGTGTCACATGCTGGATCTTAGGAGATGTTTGCTGATGTATATTGAACGCTCAGCTGCTTGGAGAAAATCCTCTCAATTATTTATTATACCTTGGGGTTCTCGTAAAGGGGAAGCCGCTTCTGTCTCCACTCTTCGTTCCTGGACAGTATCTGCGATTTCCAAAGCTTATAGAGCTAGGGATGTTCCTGTTCCCAAATGCATCAGAGCTCATTCCACAAGATCCATTGCTACCTCATGGGCTGCAGAGTCAGGTGTTCATGCAGAGACCATATGTAAGGCTGCAAATTGGTCATCCCTAAAGACCTTTGTGAAGCACTACAAAGTGGATGTGGCTTCTCGCTCGGATTCAGAGTTTGGCCTGTCTGTCCTGAACTCCTTTAATCCTCAGAGCTGATTTATTCATTAAACTATTTTGTAGCAGGTATTTCCCTCCCTGTGTCATTATTGCTTGGGGAATCCCATATGTTAAATGCTGCCATGATTAGCCAGGAATACGGAAAATGTATTCATACTTACCGTAATTTTCTTTTCCTGGCTATTATTCATGGCAGCATTTGGTTTTCCCACCCTCTTTTGGATATTCGTCTTGTTACTTGACTGAGGTGTGATGGCTGATGGGGTTCCTATTATACCAGGGGATGGTATGCTTAATTGTTTGTGTTTCCTGTCCTGAGGGTTAGAGGGAGGAGCTAAACCCATATGTTAAATTACGGTAAGTATGAATAAATTTTCCGTATTAGTTCATGTATCCAGAATGCTTCTTTGTTAAGGAGTATTTTGCCACAATCACCTCCTCTTTTAGGTATAGGTATATGACCTATCGCCAAGAATTTAAGTGTAGTAAGTCGATGTTGATGTTCAAAAAAGTGTTTGGCACAGGCTTTCTAGAAATATGATAAAAATATGATGGTAGTATACAAAAGTCATAATAGCTACTTAAGTATCAAGTATATATGATTTGATTTGAGATACTTTGCAGTGTAAATATTCCATAGGCCTTGGAATAGAAAGCTATGTCAATGATTATATGCTCCTTTTTCGATTAGTTTACCTGTTTATGTTGTCTGCTTAGCTACGTGTGTTTATTAATTGCTTTTATTATTTTCACAATAAGGTTTTTTGCACTTGTATCAGTTTATCATTATAATATTTTCTTAATATTTGTAACTTGAGCACTTTAGATTCACAATTATGCACTTTATGGCACATGTCACTTTACATTTTTGCCACTTTGAAATTCTCTAAGCACTTTACTATTTTGGGCATTTGTATACTTATGTCTGGTCTCAATCTATGCAGACCAGTTATATGTTCGTCCTAATACACACTCTGTGAACTATGTTATTCATCTCCTATGAAATATTTGGAGCACTAATACTTGGTTTCCACAACACTGTAGGAATCCACGGTGGTGTTTATCCATTTACTTAGTAATTATAATTATGCCGCATCTCCATGGTAACGGTGACGGCATGTATCCAGAATGCTTCTTTGTTAAGGAGTATTTTGCCACAATCACCTCCTCTTTTA